TTTTAGCATTTCTGGGCGGATCTCATCAATCCCTGGGGCTTTGCCACTGTGGAGTTTTTTGACCACCTCAGTGACTTCCTCCAGGGAAACTGACGAGAAACCCCTATCAGTCTCCAGCTCAGCCTCTACTAGAAAGGACGTGTCAGTCGGATTTAGGAGTTCCTTAAAGTGTTCCTTCCACCGCCCTATTACCTCCCCAGTTGAGGTCAACAGAGTCCCATCCTTACTGTGTTCAGCTTGACGGTTCCCTGCTTCCCCCTCCTGAGATGGTGGACAGTACTCCAGAAACACTTTGGTGCCGACCGAAAGTCCTTCTCCATGTCTTCTCCGAACTTCTCCCACACCCGCTGCTTTGCATCTGCCACAGCAGAGGCTGCAGCCCTTCGGGGCCGTCAGTACCTTGCAACCACCTCTGGAGTCCTCTGAGACAACAAATCCCGGAAGGCCTCCTTCTTCAGTCGGACGGCTTCGCTGACCACCGGTGTCCACCACGGTGTTCAAGGGTTACTGCCCCTTGAGGCACCTAAGACCTTGAGACCACAGCCTCCCGCTGTGGCTTCAGCAATAGAGGCTTTGAACATTGCCCACTCATGTTCAATGTCCCCAACCTCCACAGGGATGCCAGAAAAGCTTTGAGTTGAAGATCTCACGGACAGGGTCCTCCTCCAGACGTTCCCAGTTCACCCGCACTACCTGTTTGGGCTTACCGGGTCTGTCCAGAGTCTTCCCCCACCCCCTGACCCAACTCACCACCAAGCCCCAGACAGAACTCCATTCAGGGTCTCCAAGAAGGCCGAGTACTCTAAACTGCTGTTTGGTGCATATGCACAAACAACAGTCAGAGTTTTCTCCTCCACTACCCAAGGGCATAGGGAGGTGACTCTCTCGTTCACCGGAGTAAACTCCAACGTAGCGGCTCCATCCCCCACAGAGAGGTGACGTTCCACGTCCCCAGAGCCAGCCTCTGCCGCCCAGGTCTGGTCCGTAGAGGCCCCTGACCTTCACTGCCAACCATGTGACAGCGCACCCGACCCCTGCGGATCTTCCGATGGATAGTGGGTCCAAAGGATGGAGAGGGGGGTGGCACGTTACTTTTTCGGGCTGTGCCCGGCCGTGCTCCATGGCAAACCCGGCCACCAGGCACTCTCTGATGAGCCCTCCCTCTGGGCCTGGCTCCAGACGGGGGCCCCGGGCTTCCTCCGGGCAGGGTCTCTCTACCTCTTCCTCGTAGTGTCATCAGCGGTCTTTGTGAACCATTCTCAGTCTGACTCCAGGCAACACAGCCTCCAAGCTCACCAGGCATGCAAACCTCTCCACCACGATGGGTGCTCGTCTTGTCACCCTGTTTCTTTAGATTTTGGATTTCTGTTTGGATTACCTTGTTTTTGGACTCTGTTAATCAGCCACTCTGCCAGTAAGTGTGCTCGCCTTTTGTTTATTGGTTTAATAAACCTTTTGAACTGTACCAGTCAGCCTACGTGTCCTGCATTTGGGTCCACCAACCTGCCTCACCACAAACAAAAAGCAGTATTTGTCTTTTTAAGGAAAAGGTTAACTTGCTAAATTTAAAGAACAATTAATTGCCTAACACACAGAGATAACACATCAAACAGAATTTTTATGGAATGTTAACTGAACTGGTTTTAGTCTACAGACATTAGACAATTTTAACTGTAAAATAAGAAACCAAAGTATATCAAGTCTGTGATTTCTTAACTCATTATTATTATCTTTTATGTAGTATTCAGCTAGTCTATTCTGCATACTAGAATTCCTGAAATTCAGTTATGGCTTTTGCCACCCCAGGATTTTCAGTGGCCCCATCTGGCCACCCCTGGGAAAATGTTCACGGGGCGTCCCTGGTAGAGGGGGAACATACACCGGCAGTGCCTGACGTTTCAGTGAGAAGTCAGTGCAGGTGTTAATGGTCAGACCAAGCTCCTATTTTATACAGTATGTTTGTTATTTGCAAAATGTGTATTATTCATAATTTTAGTAAGCCTCATAATTCAATCACAGGTATATGCATACAGTCACCAGAATCAAGCCTTATTCTGCATAGTTAAGTCAGGTAAAGTCAAAAGATTTAAATGATTATTGATTACTGTGTACACTTAAATTCCAGATAACATTTACATGCTTATGTCATTATATTGAATGAATCAAGGATATTTTAAAGGTTACTGATAATGGCACTACATTATTTGTTGGATTTCCTCTCTGAGCATCTGCTGCCCCCTCTTGGATAAAACTGAGATGTTCAGTCAAAAAAACAACAACTTGAGCCTCCTTGCATCAGTGATGTTTAAGCTGAGCCATGCAAGCCAGTAGTGGTGTCCATCATCTTGCAATCTTAAATTAGCAAAAAGCCAAGAAAGATACATACAAGAGCCATCCATTGACTAGGAAAAAGAGCTAACATCCACTAAATTACAGCATCTCTCAAAATATTTTAAAGTAAATATAACATAATAACTGTAAGGGTTTAGAGCATTGTTAAAGCAGCCTAGCTAACAAGAACATAAATTGTGGGACATGTTTGTGTCTAGATAAAGCTAAAGTATATATATATATATATACTTATATATGTGTATCTTGGTTGTTTAATCCATACACATACAGTAATGTAAAGGATAACTTGCAGTTTGTAACTTTTCATCCAACCAGAGGAGATGCTGCACACAAATGCTGAGCACTTTTCTTCATTGAAAAGTGGTTACAGTATGAAACACACTCTAAACCAACAAATTGTTGGGTTTTTTTTATTTCTGTTTGTGGATGGATTAAACAAGAGAGCCATGACGTCATCTGGACTGAAACAGGCAAGTCTTTCCCCTGTTCTAGTAGTGTTGCTAAGAGAATCGACTGCTGGCTGTAGATTCATATTTAGCCTACAAACACACGAATGACTTTGATCCTCTCCTCTCACTCTGCAAGAAAATGAATAAAAATATTTCCAAAAATGTCACATTACATTTTGCTGATGCTTTTATGCAAAGCGACTTACAATTGCTATATATGTGAGAGGTCGCACGCCCCTGGAGCATAGTCTTATCCATTGCACCACTGCCACCCCACAAAATGTTGAACTCTTTGAATATTTGTAGTGTTGTTGTTGCCGGGAATCTTTCATCAGATGCCCTTATCACTCATGGGTAAGAGTCATTGATACAGCAAGGTTGTGCATACATATAGTAGATGCTCAAGTTTGCTGCACCTTTGCTCTTTGCTGGTAAACACTGGTCAACATCTTTGAAAAAACAGATATGCATATGTAAATAACAATTTCTCCTTCTATAGACTATTAGGCTTTGTGCTACATTTTTGTTGTGGAATACATTGTATGCATGTTTTGGTGTGTATATTTATTTTGTTAAATACAGTCTGATATTTCCACACAAAAATGGTCATGAGCAGACATCCTGAAGTAACGTCCTCTCACCATAGAATAAAAAGCCCAGAAGACAAGACATCATTTATATTTGTTTTTAATAAAATTGTAATCAAAAGTGATTTACAAGTACACTGTTGTACTTCACCATCTTAGTTTAGCCAGCATTTGCTCATTATCACTGGAAGCAAAGTATGACAGAGGCTGATGGTAATGTTGAAAAAAGTATTTGCAGTCTTAAATCAAAGTATTAGACAAATATACAATTTATCCTGAGGAGGACATGGAAATATGTACTGAATGTCATGACAAACAAATTATTGTAAAGACATCACTTAAAACAACAAATGTGGTACAAGAGGAAAACTAAGGGGATTACCAAAGTCATTAGGAGTCATCCTCTGGGCATCATGGAGTGTCTGTGCCAACATTCATGGCAATCCATCCAATAGCTGTTGAGGTATTTCAGTCTGAATGTGTCCAGAATGTAGGAAATTAAGTGGTTAATGCTCCAATTTTCTGGTAAGGATGATCATATTAAATAGAATTAGAAAATTGATTATTGTTAGTCATATTTAATACTGATGTTCTTCTCATGCATATGTAGCTGTACAATTATTACAAGAGGGATTTGGTTTTTATGCACATACACACACTGCTCTAATTTATGGGACTGTATTCTAGTTTTTTATTATATTTAGGTATTTAAGCTTTCTGACTGACTCAGGCTTGTCTGACCAGGTCTTGTTCAGTTCAGTGGTGCCTTGTACAAGCAGGTGTCGTTTCTTGAAGGTCTTCAGCATAATCTGATTTACTGTATACTACAAAAACATTATATGCATAAAAATAACTGCAAAATATCTTTCTCCACGCCCCCAAAGGGCGCTCGCATAAAAGGCCTCTATGGCTGAATTTCAGTCCCAGTACACCCCTGGCTACCTCTGTTAAATAAGTGTACTATCTCTGTTCTACAGATTATTGCAAAACATGTTAAATTTTTGCTGATTTGGATTAAGCATACATTTTGGACAGGTATGAATAAAACCTTAAGAATCTGCACAACTTATCTAATGTATTTGTCTGCTGGTGATCTTTTACCTGCTTTATTTTCTTTATTCCCCTGTTTACTGGGAGAAATGCCAGAATGCCAAATCATTGCATGAAAATATATCTCCTCAAGCCACAAACTGAGGACAACGAGTGGAAACTCAGAAGAGACTCACAAATGTATTAAATATATGTTCTGAAAAGGTTCAAATGATCATTATTTTCATTCTTTGTTTAATTTTACATTTGATACTGATAATTTTCTTTGTATATTAATATACACACACTCACACATGTTGGCAATATTTTTGTTTTACTTTCATACCAATAAAGCTAGATTGAATTGAATTGAATTTATTAGTCTGCTCCACGGTATTTTTCTTGTTTTGCAATTTCCAGATAGTCAGTACGTCACTTTACTTTGGCAAAAGAGGAACAGATTAAACATTACTGTAAGTTACAGGAGATAGTCAAATGTTTGAAGAAGGAGCAAAATAATCATTAATTACAGACTTGACGTCATGATCCCACTCTGACTTTATTAATGTCCAGGGACAAATCTGTCAGACACACACAGGAACTGTTGTCTAGTTGAATCCTTTTAGCAGAGACTGATCAAATCTCTGACTGACAAATTCACATCAAGATGGGGAACATGCAGTGCCCTGCTGAGGATGCAGCCCTCCTGGCCTCCGTCGCTCGAGATATCTGCCCTTTCCCAAACTACAATCATAATCCGGTTTTCAAGAACATGCTGTCAATGAATTCTTCACTTCACCTGAGGAACCACTACGAGGCAGTGCAGTCCTCTTGACCCCCAAGCAGCTGGACGACTTCACCCAGGGCCTGAGGACCACTTTTGGCAGGGAGGGCAAAGTCACTCTTGGCGGGGTGGGGGTAGTGGCCCTGTCTTTGGCTGTGCTGTTTGACACTCTTGCCAGACAGGTCAGGGGAGAGTGGGAGTCAGACTCAGGGCCCATTCCAGGTTTATTTGTCAAAAGCTTGAGAGGGTACTACCCACCGTATGTCTACACATTCAGCGAGTACCTGAGGCTGGTACCCCACATTGTGAACAACCCCACCAGGATGAGAGAGGAGTCAGAGAGGTGAGGATTGCAATGCATGTCGAAGAAAAAAATTCAAAAGAAATTCAAACGCATTTAACACCTAATCTTTTCAAATTCATTTAAACACTTAAAACTCTCCCCCCTTTCATTTGATAACAAACTATCTAATACGTATTTGTTTTTAACTGCAAATTTACGAATCAGATCACATAGAGTTGAATCTGATCAAACTTTGTGATGTCTACACAGCCTGCATAGTGAAAGCAGTGCATTAGAGCAGCAGCAGCTTCAGTCCTGCATCTACACAGGATGCGTTCAGGCACAGTACTGTGTGTAACGTACTTATGTTTTGGCAGTGCTCAGAGTCCAGTACACAATCACTGTATTTACATGTGTAAAACCCATAGCTGTATTGTTTAAAATCAATGTAAATCTTTTCAGTTAAACTGCACATGAGAGGAAAAATTGAAAAACACGAATGGTGAATGTGACGTGAAATTGTGAGACTCCAGCCATGTTGAGGGCTTGTTTGAGTTCAAGGCACAGTCGGTGCACTTATACAAAATCCTTTATTTTCCCTCCCAGTTTTATTTCAAAATCATATGTATATGTTCATTTGTGAGCACAAATTAGTTTGCTAACATTGAATACATTTGCAGTAGGCTATATTTTAATTTCGTGCAATTTTGAATTTGTTTTTGTGTGTGTGTGTTTATCTGACCAAGGTACTTCAAGCAACTCACAATCGACATAAAACTGTGGAAAACAGCGAGAACCCGATCTGTGATGACGTCACAGTGGTTAACCACGTGCTTGGACGGTTATTTCAAAGGAATCTGCGCATTCACCTACTCCGTATTTCCAACTCTTCCGTTGTAGAAGATGATAAAATGGGACAAACTTCTTGCTCAGAAATCATTGTGTTCCATCTCAACTGCGATCCAGAGGCAGCCAGCATAGATTTTTTGGCTGAAGTGCAGAAATCACATGACACTCAGAAAGCTTTTAAACAATGTCATCCATCACAGCTCAGCCGAACCTGGTTGGAATTCATTGCCGAGCTAGCCTGGCTAGATGTCATATTCGACCAGCGCTTTATTGCAGAAAACTATAATGAATTACTGTCAGCTCAAAGAGAAGATTTTGACCTGAAAGCAAATGCACTCAGAAAATGGGCAGAGTAGTTCACCGGTCATCTGTCCAAACATGCAAGAAAAAATTTTACTTTAAAAAGAATACAAATAAGAACTGCCATTTATCATGCTGCAAATCTTGTCATGCTATTTTTGGTTAAAACAATTCAGATCATTTAAAATAAACTAAAATGAACTAAATGTACTTACTGTACCACTCCCACCAATGGCAAATAATAATAATAATGAACATATAGAAATGCATATTTTACAATATAAATAAAAACACAGGAGTGCATGCACAACTAGCTACAGTAATATGCACATGTGGATGCCTACATACACATTAAGGGACCTACGCTGTCTGAGGAATAAAAATCCTGTTTGCCCTCTTAGTGATGCTGCTATAAGCCTAGACTGTTGGGAGATGCACCAAGCTCCTCTCTCTCCTCTCCTTCTCCATGCTTTCTTATCCCATTTATACATGTTAATAACTCCACTTCTTCACGATCCCATAGTTTTATGCTTTCTCATCCCTCTCCTCTCTCCTGTTGCTGTCACGTGTATTTTGGGGTATATTATCATTTATTTATATATCAAAGTGACAGTATGTAATGACAATGCACACTTTAAACAATAATCTACAACATAAATGAAGTTTTTTGTTGTGACTAATTGGGACAACATCTTTGGTCGATTATGGCAAAAATCATAATCAGGACTATTTGGGTCATAATTGAAATCACGATTATTAAAGGTTCAGTGTGTAAGATTTCCCCACGACCCTGTACACAGGATAAGCGTTGACGATTAATGATGGATGTGTAAGATTTAATGGCATCTAGCGGTAAGATTGCACATTGCAACCGTAGGACAGCAGTGGCTGACCAGCACTAAAGGTGTCTCTTCTGATACAGCAGAGAGTAGCCAGTCAAGAAATTAGGTTTCTTTAGGTAGATATATTAATAAATTATATTTACTTAATTATTTAGTAAAACCATGTTATTGTGACTTGACCACTGACAGATAACATGGAAAATGTAAGCCATGAGTGTGAAACATTGTCACTGTTTCTGCACCACAGTCCATTATAAACCACATAATAGATGAAGTTTACAAACATCAGTTCTCTCTGTGATTATGGCCCCTCGCCAAAACTGCCCGCCAGCACCATATTCTGGTCCACAGTCAGAATATGGAGCTTTAACAGTGGCAAAAAATAAAAATAAATGTATAATTTGATAGCAGTGCTGTTTCTGGTTCAAGCAGCCTGTAAGTTATAGGTAATTCAGTGCCCCTCTCTGGCCAGCTGAGTTTCATTTATTGTTATTTTATACAGATTGTTATTTGCTAAATGTGTACCAACCATATATATTTTTTGTCAGGACAGACTCATATGAAGATAGTCACCACCAGTATCAAGCCTTACTCCACCTAGTTCAGTCAGGAAATGTCATAAGATTTAAATAATTCTAGGTGAATAGTGTAAACGGTGTGGTGATGGCTCAATGGATAAAGTCGCATGCCTTTGGTGTGAAAGACCTTGGTTCAATCCCCCACTGTAACCCATCCACCATTGTGTCCCTGAGCAAGACACTTCACCCCTCGTTCAGAGGGGCTTGCAACCTCTGACACAGCAATTGTAAGTCGCTTTGGATAAATGTGTCAGCTAAATAAATAAATGTAATGTTAAATTAAAATGCCACATAACATTTATATGCTTTGGCCATTATATTGAATGAATCAAGGATATTTTAAACATTTTACTGATAAAGGCACTACAATATTTGTTGGATCTCCTCTACAAGCATCTGCTGCTCCCTCTTGGATAAAGCAAAGACTTTCAATCAAAAAACAAAAACAAAACTTGAGCTTTACGCAAGCATCCCTGCATTAGTGATGTTCAAGCTGAGCCATGTAAGCCAGTAGTGGTGTCCATCACCTTGCAATCTTAGCAAAAAGCCAAGAAAGATACATACAAGAGCCATCCATTGACTAAGAAAAAGGAGCTAACATCCACTCTATTTGCATTCATACAGGGAAAGAACATGAACCATTGGGAAAACATATAGTGATTTAGGTGCTGTGCCTTTTACATCATCTTTCAAAAAGTTTTAAGGAAATGTAACTGAAGTAGTCAATGGCATTTTAATGCAGCCTAGCTAACAAGAACTTAAATTTTCTAAAAACAAACATCCAGAAAGGACCCTTTCGATCTTTGATACTTATACAGTAAACAAAATGTGGTGATTAGAAGACAAAGATACATCTAGGAAGCAAAGATAAAACTGGGATATGTTTGTGTGCAACACTAAAGTATGTAACATGTGTATCTTGTTTGTTTAATCCATATCCTTACAGTAATGTACAATGGATAACTTGCAGTTTGTAACTTTTTCTTCCAACCAGCGGAGAGGCTCCACACAAACGCTGAGCACATTTCGTCATTGAGAAGTAGTTACACTATAAAACACACTCTAAAACTCCAAATTGTTGGTTTTGCATTTCTGTTTGTTGACCTTAATAAACAATAGAGACATGACGTCTTAGTAAGTGAACGCTAGAGTGGATTTGGACTGAAACGGGCAAACCATTTCCCCTGTTTTAGTATTTTTGCTAAGTGAATCAACTGTAGCTTTAGCCTACAGACACGAGAATGGTATTGATCCTCATGCTCACTCTGCAAGAAAATGAATAATGATATTTCCAAAAATGTTGAACCTTTTGATTATTTGTAGTGTTGTTGTTTCAGTTTAACCTAAAAGTAAATACAAACTCAGTCACAGGTTAGTTAAGAACTGGATATGCATGCATGTCTGTCTGCCGGGAATCTTTCATCAGATGCCCTTATCACTCATGGGTTATTGACAACAACAAGGTTGTGCATACATATGGTAGATACTCAAGTTTGCTGCACCTTTGCTCTTTGCTGGTAAACACTGGTCAGATGGTTAAGCTGTAAAACACACAAAAGAGATCCTGGTCAGAAGGCAAATATTTCTACATGCACAGAAAACTGAATTTATGAATTTTCAGTAACTCACATGTGAACATCTTTAGAAAGCAGATTTCTCCTTCTATAGACTGTTAGGTTTTGTGCTACATTTTTGTTGTGGAATACATTGTATGCATGATTTGGTGTGTATATTTATTTTGTTAATACAGTCTGATATTTCCTCACAAAAAATGGTCATGAGTAAGACGTTCTGAAGAAACACCCTCCCCTCATAGAATAAAAAGTCCAGAAGACAAGACATCATTTCTATTTATTTTAATAAAATTGTAATCAAAAGGGATTTGCAAGTACACTGTTTACCATGTTTACCATCTTAGTTTAGCCAACATTTGCTAATTATCACTAGAAGCAAAGTATGGCAAAGGCTGATGTTAATGTCATCTATTTGCAAGACTTTCTTAAGTCTTAAACTAGAGTATTGGTCAAATATACAAATTATCCTGAGGGGAACATGAAAATATGTACTTAATGTCATGGCAAACAAATTATTTTAAAATCACACAAAACAAAAATGTCAATAGTTGTACAAGAGGAAAACTCAGGGGATTACCAAAGTCATTAAGAGTCATCGTCTGGGCATCATGGAACGTCTTTGCCAACATTAATGGCAGTCCATCCAATAGCTGTTGAGAAATTTCAGTCTGGACCGAAGTGGTGGCACAACTGAGCACTGGCAGCATGTTAGCTAATAATTACATATTTCCTACTTCTGTTAAATAAGTGTATTATTTCTCTTCTATGGATACAGAATATTGCACAACGTGTGATCTATGGCTGGATTTTTCTCTTTTGGATTATGCATACATTTTTAACGAGTATGAATAAAACCTATCTGCACACTGCAGACTGCACATTTTTGTCTGCTGGCGATGTTTTACCTGCTTTATTTGTCTGCTCCAAGGTTTTTCTTCTTGTTTGCAACTTCCAGATAGTCAGTATGTCAATGTACTTTGGCAAAAGAGGAACAGATTAAAAATTACTGGAAGTTACAGGAGATAGTCAAATGTTTGAAGAAGGAGCAAAATAATCATTAATTACAGACTTGACGTCATGATCCCACTCTGAATTTATTAATGTCCAGGGACGAATCTGTCAGACACACAGGAACTGTTGTCTAGTTGAATCCTTTTAGCAGACTGATCAAATCTCTGACTGACAAATTCACATCAAGATGGGGAACATGCAGTGCCCTGCTGAGGATGCAGCCCTCCTGGCCTCCGTCGCTCGAGATATCTGCCCTTTCCCAAACTACAATCCTAATCCGGTTTTCATGAACATGCTGTCAATGAATTCTTCATTTCACCTGAGGAACCACTACGAGGCAGTGCAGTCCTCTTTGACCCCCAAGCAGCTGGACGACTTCACCCAGGGCCTGAGGACCACTTTTGGCAGGGAGGGCAAAGTCACTCTTGGCGGGGTGGGGGTAGTGGCCCTGTCTTTGGCTGTGCTGTTTGACACTCTTGCCAGACAGGTCAGGGGAGAGTGGGTGTCAGACTCAGGGCCCATTCCAGGTTTATTTGTCAAAAGCTTGAGAGGGTACTACCCACCGTCTGTCTCCACAGTCAGCGAGTACCTGAGGCTGGTACCCCACATTGCGAACAACCCCACCAGGATGAGAGAGGAGTCAGAGAGGTATGGTTGTGGCTCGCCCTCCTTTCATTTGATAACAAACTGTGTGAGATGTACGTACATATGCACAGGGCCATCCTGGTGACATAGGCGGGTGCCTAGGGCGCAAAACGTAAGGGGCGCCACAAGAGAAAAATTTGAATCACTGCAGCACAGCTGATGCGACACTGGAGTAAGCTGTTATTGGAATCAAGTGCACCTCGCACTGTGAGTCCTGTTATATACCTTTTTGTGCATGTAACAGGTTTGCAAAGTGAAAAAGCCCAAAGTCAAAGAGTTTTTTGCCAGCTGAAAACGCCACATGCTGTTCTGAAAATGCCTAGCTGGGAGCGTTAGTGTGCGTTTTGGAGGTGCAGTGGTTTTTTTCAAGATGCTGTGGTTCCCATGATACATAATTTCCGTGGAGGTGCTACAAGTAGGGTAGCCTACTTAATTTTACTGAATGTAAAAATGTCACCATAAAGTACGTAGGCCTAATTGCTCTGGCCCTTGCACTGCATAAAGAGAAGGCTGAAACATGAGAGCACAGACTGTCCGTACGTGGATTCATGAGATTTTGCAGGTGAGGAAACACCTCGGCGAATAGGCACAACATTTCGTTCAAAATCCGATGTGCTCCTGCACTGTGATTGGACGGCTGGGTAAAAAGGACAGAGACGAGCGCAGCGTTTTTCCCAAAGTTGAACATCTCTGCGACTGGAAAAAAAACGCTCAGCTCCTGCCGTTTTTACCAGCTTGGAAAAACGAGGCGCTCCCATTGGAATGAATTTAAAAAGATGCTGGCGTCAGAAAAAAACGCTTTGGTGGACACTACCAGCAGGGCAATAACGTAAGACACAGCCAAGTAAAGAGCAGGCAGAATTAAATGATGATGCATTTTTTCAGAGAACACAGATATGTGGGAGGGATTCTGAATTTGCAGAAAGTTTTGAACGTGAGAAAACCTGCTGAAACAAATGAGCTATTAAAGTCCAGGAGTTTAAACTGAATTAAAATGAATTAAATTAT